AAATCCATCTGGTCCCTTAGTCCATTTGTAACTTTCCAAAATCAAAGTTCTAATCATCCTTTTGCTGTTTATTCCCCCCCCCCCAAAAAAATCCTTAAACTTGTATTTAAAACTTCTTTCACTAAGAATTGAAGGAAACTCACCCAGTGTTGTCAGTCCAAAGGTTCCTAATAGCTGAAAAGCAGTTAACAAGCAATTTCCAAAAGTGATTAGAAAAGGAAGTATGTGAACCCAATGTCCATGAAGGTGCTGACTGTTGTTTGAACAAAGATGGCTATTCCTCATCTCCCAGAGGTCTAAACTCGCCAAAGACTGCTGTCTTGTGGTCTCCTCATAAGGACCAACTTGTGGCCAATCTCAAGTCCTCTCCTTGCCTGGAGAGGAATTATGAAGAGCTGGTCTATTCGCTGGATCTTCATTCCACCGCAGTCATCGGCTCCACTTTTAGTAGAGCGGTCTTCAGTTCACCATTTCTTCCCCAGAAGTCCTACTCTCTACCTTTTGGATCACATGTAAGGACAACCTCAAATAAAAGCACATTACAATAATTAAGTCTTTCAGTGTCCAGAGATGTCTGTAGCTGGAATAGCAATGAAAGCTAAAAGCAAAGTAGAACAGTACTCTTTATTCAGACCACCATTGCATCAACTCACTAATCTAGGATCTATACAAATTTCCCAATGTACATAAAATATAGAAATATAGTTGTGACATTAGCATCCCCCGTAGTTTTCTTCTCTACCTAGTTTGTTTTTTTAATGTACTTTACATAAACCTACATAAATGTTGCACCTAATTGTGGCTGACACTTACGTAACTCTTTTTGTTTGGTTTTAAATGTGCAATGCCTGGGGAAGAAAGGAGGTGTTAAAATTTCAACTTAGAAAAACATATTTGAGAGGTAATGGTTAAAGGTGCTGCAAGTAATCACTAATCCTTTTAATTTCTCCTTTTGAGAACTGCTTTGGTTGGTTGGTTTGTGTGTGTGCGTGTGTTTATATGTGAACAACTTTATAAGGACCGACTAACAATGTTACAAGATAATCATAAACAGTCACTACATATGTGAATTTGCTAATTTTGGAGTTACTACTTACTTAACATTCTGAGACTGGCAAAATTTAATACTTGTCTGTATTTAATCTTGGTTTTAATTTCTGAGGAGGCAGTTCAGCATTTCTGGGACAATGGTTGGCACAACATTAAGTACTGAACTGTTACCTACGATGGGTATGAAAGAGCTTTATATGTCCAGAACATTTTGACATTTTAATTGAACTTTTCTGTCCCAGAATGCTGAAAGTGCAGTGTGTACCCTGTCATATCCCCCCCCCCCACGTTAATGAAATGTTTTCTCTGTGTTTTGTCTTTAAGCATAATAGAACTTTTTATAGCTCTTAAACGTTTGCCTGTAGAGAAAAATGTCTTTTAACTCCAGAAGCATAAATATCTTAAGCTTTTACATTCAACTTCCACACACAAGAGACACAGTGTTTGAGGTGAGAATGCATACCCAGGCCAGTTAGCCATATGCTCTTAAAGAACCACCTGCAATCCTCAGCAGTCAATAGCTTCAGTAGAGGATAGTCTCAAAGTCTCCAGAAGCAAAGTGAGGGCAGTTATATTCTCTGCAGCATGCTTTGAAACCTTGTGTGTGAAAGCTAAAAAACGTTGGGGGGGGGAGGGTTATTGAAATGAAAACAAGCCTTAAAACAAAATTATGGTTCAAGTATTGAACGCTTTTGTCTCTAATACTCATGTGATTGTTTTAAAGCTATTTAAGAAAATATTTAAGAAAAAAAATGTCTTTAAAGTGAAGGAACAAAATCTGTTTATTACCTGAGATGTCAGAGAGAAAGTCCTGCTTCTGTTTACTTCAGTACCTCAATGGAAAGTCATACTGTACTAAGAGGGTTCCTTTAGATGTTCAATTACTTTTTAGTTTCTTTTCCTAAATGGGAACAGATATAACATTTAAAGGTCAGGCATCTCTCAGTCTAACTGCAGAAAATATTGTATTTCAAGGGATTTCTATCTAAGTTGAAATTCCTGATCACTTGTACAGGTTTTCTTTAATTGATTTAAAACGTTATAATTGTAATGCTCCAAGAAATAGAACATAATACTTGTCCATTTGGTAGGAATTGGGGCCAGTGTCTTTAGCATATTCCTCCCGCTATGATCAGTTCATACTTAATGCATTTATTTAAAAGATTCTACTTTAAAAATGGCATATTATATATTTCCTATTACAGTTTTATGATCAATGACGATAATAAAGAAAAATGTTGATACTATGTTTCTGTTTCGCTTTCAGCTGAACCTCTACCTTTAATGGATCTGTGTCGAAGATCAATTCGCTTTGCTCTGGGAAGAGAACGCCTGCATGATATAGAAACTCTACCTTTGCCTCAGTCCCTGAAAAATTATTTACAATATCAGTAATATGATTCTAGATCTCTAAATGGTAGAAATTGTTTACATCAGAATATAAATCTTCATGGTGGATATTTTGAGTGTTATTTAATTTTTTTTTACATTTTTAAAAATCAACCATGGCAGAAGATTATGGAGACTACTAAAAAATGTGAAAAAAATGAATTGATTTAGTTCTTTCTGTAGAATAATTGTTGCCTATACTGTTACGCAGCCTCGTTATACAAAATCCAAAGCTTGTTTTCACAAGTAAGAGCCAAATGTGAAATGTGTGTTAGGCTAGACCTGATGTTGGATGTGTACCAGATGTGCAAGAGATGCGAATATAACTCCTCAAAGCAGTGTTCATGCAAGAATATTCTTTTGTATAGGTCACAGTATCAACATGTAAAAGAAATAATCACTGTTGGTGTTTCTCAAAACTCTGGAAGATAATATGCCAAATAATTAGAGTTCTTATAATATCAATTATGATGCAAAGTTCCTTATTCATGGGATCTGTTTATTCTCATTTTGGAAGGAAAATGCTCTGGGGAACACATCACATTCTAGTGTCCATCATAGGAAGACATGGGGGATCCTTGGCATATGGAACATAAGAGCCGCAGTGGAACTGCAAGATTGTGGCCTCTTACATTTAGGTGCTCAGCCTTTCAGAAAATAATGCTCTTGGTATAATATACCACCTGCCATATTTTAACTTACTTTATTGAACAAGGTAGTTGATCTTGTTTTCCAAAGCAACTCAGCTCAATGTGCAAATTAGTTAAGTTAGCTGACTTTCTTAAATGGTGTTTTTGGTCTTATTTTCTCAGTAGGATGGAATTTGCTCAAATCAGTCTTTCCCAATTTAACTTATGACTGATTAAGCTAAATATTAGTTCATGTTCAGGTATCCTGGTTCAGACCTATTTTATTTTGTCAAATATCATGCTGCTTTTTTATTCTTGACCACATTATTTTATTTTCTTTACTTTTTGAGTTCCAAATACCAGATTTCCTTTACTGTGCCTATGGCATAAGAGGGCTTGAATTAACCCATTTCATGCATACATGGAAAGATTCCAGAGCAAAGAAGTTAGCCATGCCCTCTGCCAGAACTGTGTGCCACCTTCCCACGTGAACATCCAAGGCCTAGATAAGTTTTCCACATGTTCATATACATTTGCCCATACATTTGTGCATAACTTTATGTGAATATCTCATTCTCTCAAATAGGTATCTGTTTCTAACCATGATAATGCCAAAATGGCAAAACACGTGTTGTCATGACATCACACACAAGTACATAAAGGGCAGGATTTACATTGCAACATGTTTTATTGTTTGCCTCCCACCCCCCACCTCTCCTGCAGACCCCATTCCCTCAAATGTCTATCAAACATCCCTTGGAGAGGCAACATGGTTCCGGTAGCAGGCAAAATTAGCCTATAGACATCTTGTTTTAAAGCTTGCAAGGGACAATAATGTATAACCTTATAGTGTTTTGTTTATCTTGTCAAACTTTTGAGTATCACATTTAGAATTTCTCTCTCCAGAATAGAGTGGAATTTTTTTGTTCTTACATCTTTTCCTCCTCTGCTTACAATGTGTGTTCATTTATCAGGATCAACTTATTTTTTAAGGGAACTGCTTTTATTTTTAGGGGTTTTTTTCCTGCTACATTCACAGTTCTCTGCCTGATCATTATCTAGTTTTTAACTGGAAGTTGTTGTAATGGCAGGATATCAAATGTTGATAGAGCTGCCTTCAGCATATTTTAATGTGAATTCACCGAAGAATGAAGATATTTCTAATAAACTCTACTGTCCAAATGACTATTGGTGTATTATGTTTCCTTCCTTCCCTGTTCTAAGTTATTTGCACACATATTATAATAAACCACTTAGTAGTTCATTTTTTTCTCTATTTGAGCATTTCTGTTGCAGTATCTTTCATACAGATGCTTTCCCAAGGGACAGAAATTAGTAGAACTAAAAATACCTGATTTATAGAAAATAGGTTACAAAACATCTTTTATGGCATAAAAATCCTCTGCTTCAGTCATACAAACAATTTAACTACTAGTAACGTCTGTCTACTCCCTTTGTTCAATTCTGACTTCATCCTGTTTTCTTTGGCATAGTTCTCTGTGTCAGACATCCACTTCCAGTACCCTTCATGATACAGGTCCCACTACATAGAGAAGAGTACAGAGTTTACTGATAAATGTAGTTGCATGATTTTGCTTTCTACTGCTTATAACATTTGCATTCTTTTTCAAGCACAAGTTCTGTCCTATTTTCACTTTTTTTTCCCCCTTAAAACTTTCTCTAAGCATTGTTGGGGACATTTTTTGATCAGACAATTGAATTAAAGAATTTAGAGAAATGCGGAAGTTGAAAGTTATTTGAGAAGTGTGAATTAAATGAAGCAAATTTATTTCACCAACATCTTGACTGATGTTATTGTTCACAGCTGTTTCTCTAATGTCAGATTTTGTTTCAGATCTCAGTGCAGCAATCTTCACACTTGGCACACTGCAATCTTCTGTTAGGAGATAGAATTTTCTTTATCTTGGCATGGAATAAACTTTTCTTCTAGCTAAATAGTTAGTAATATGACTTACATGACCCACGGTTATTTTAATGCTTACTGGATATATTTTATTTAGCAAAACATTTAATTTTTTTTATTTTTTTTTTAAATTTCAGGTGCATTTAGTTCTCTGTCGAGAAAAATTAGAACAGGAGTATACAATATGTAGATTATTTCCAACCTTACTTATAACTTGGAGTGAATGGTATTGATAGCCGCTACAATACCATTGTTATTTATACTTTTATTTAAAAAATCCAGAAATTTAGAGAACTCTTCTGAGTTCTGAGAAAACTGTCTAACCAATAGATAGAATTATCCTAGATAGAGACCACCAAATAATTTAATGATGCCATGGCCTCCCTCTCACAGTGCCTAGAGGCTGTTAAGGTCTGGATGGGGAGCAATGGGTTGAAACCGAACCATGGCAAGACAGAATGGCTCTGAGTTTGGGGTCCTCTGGCCCTGGAGAATTGCCATCTTTGGTCTTGGATGGGGTTGCACTGCCCCAGATGGACCCAGTGCATATTCTGGGGGTTCTCCTGGACTCACGACCCCTGTTCAAGATACAGGTGGCAGTCGTGGCCAGAAGGGCCTTTGCACAACTGCGGGTTGTGCGCTAATGATGCCCTTTCCTGGAACGATAGGCCCTGCTCACAGTCACCCACACCCTAGTCACCTCCCACCTTGACTACAATAATGTGCTCTACATGGGGCTGCCCTTAAAAAATATCTGGAACCTTTAGTTGGTTCAGAATGCAGGGCCCGCATAGTTGTATGCACGCCTAGATTTGCACACGTCACCTCTCTTGCAGGAGCTGCATTGGGTGCCAATTTGCTTCCAAGTCCAAAGTGCTGGCTGTCACCTTTAAAGCCATACATGGCTTGGGGCCAGGTTATTCAAAGGACCACCTTTTCCCAGTTTTATCTGCCTGACCCACCAGATTGGGGAAGCAGGGTATGTTACAGGTCCCCCCATTAAGGAAGTCCATCTAGTGGGACTGAGAAGAAGGGCCTTCTCAGTCGTGGCTCCCTCCCTGTGGAACATCATCCCGCAGAAATAAGACTGGCCCCCACCTTGATGCTTTTCCGCAAGGCCCTGAAGACATGGTTTTGCCAGCGGGCCTGCAGATCCCAGATCAACCCAGAGCACATCAAATGCTAGCATAAATGTATTGTTGTCACCAGGGGAGTGCAGGGTGGAGTGGGTTTTGTATTGGGATTTTTATTCTTGTAAGCCACCCGGAGTCACTGTGAGTGAGTTGCGCAGCCATATAAATTGCACACATATATACATACATACAATAAGGCTTCCTTCCCTGTAACTGTTGCATGAATGAATGAATGAATGAGGCTTCCTTCCCTGTAACTCTTCTCTCCATCCTATACCAGCAACACCTTGTATGGGGAATTATATAACACAACTAATTATATATTACACAATGAGGATAGCTGCCATTTGTAATAGTTATCTTGGTGGACTTGTAGTTCTATCTGTGGACACAACATCAGCGTCCAACTTCCAGGGTATTCCACCTGATACAAGAGATCATGTCTTCTTTACGTTGAGCTCAGTCTTGGTGACTTTATGCTGAAGTTGGTGTGAAATTCTTGGAAACAGTATGCAAATGAGTTACATTGCCTCTTTTCAGACTGTTTATTTCAATTCCCAGTTCAGTCCTCAGATTTTTCCCTGGATCCCATCCAAGTTCTAATCAGTCAATTCCTGCTTAGCTTTTTGAAATCAACAAAAGTCTACCAAGTGCTGCTGAAAATACAGAGTATCATATCATTTATAGTTAAGTTCCTATGTCATCCTTATTAATAAGTTTACATACTTTTAAATGACAAAAGCTTCCTTGCTTCTTCTATTAGTATTTACATGCATGAGATTGTCTGAAATATATAAAGGTAGACAATTCAACTAAAATGTTTCTCCTACTTTCAAGGAAAAACATTAGAAACTATATTAAATAGATAATATAGAAAAAACAGAAAAAGGGTTTTAGAATGAATGCATTTACTTCTTTGTGTGGAAACTGCTTCCAGTCAGAGCCAGCCCATAATGTTTAATAAAAGAAATACTCAGTGATTCAATTAATTAAAAAAAAGAATTGAAAAGCAGCATGCATAAGTAAAATAATTAGTATAAATAAATTTGGAACATAACTTTGGAACAGCAGACTAAACAAAGCTACTATGACAGAAAAGGTAATGTAGAAAACAAAAACAAAATTCAAATTGCCATTAAAAAAAGCCAAAGAAGAGCTGATCCAGCTATAGGAGAAGGGAGAGAGAAAACAAATGAGACAATGTTAATAAAGAAACAACTCTTATGCATTATACAGGTACTTGTTAACTTCCATTTATTAGGACAATAATACACTCACTCTAGTTACTCTTCTGGGTCTCCTGCTTTTTCTATTCATGAACTACAAAACATTTTGTGATGTAAAGTAATGCTACTATTTCACAAATGGCACCAATTAATAATCTTAAGAAATATTATCTGTTAAAATTACACTCTTGGTCTGATATCAGTACAGATGCTTATATTTCAACATTGCTAAATAATCAAATACTTTACCATTCACAAGAAAAGGAAGAGGTGGAAGTGGAAGTGAACAAATGCAATCATATTTCAATTTGTAGCAATGTCCATTCTTTCTAGCAGGCTTTGAGAAATTGTATTGTGGCACTGACCTTCCAAAGTTTGCTTACCTCTAAAGGAGGAGGAGGAGGAGGAGGAGGAGGAGAAGAAGAAGGAGAAGGAGAAGGAGAAGGAGAAGGAGAAGGAGAAGGAGAAGGAGAAGAAGAAAGAACCCACACTTATGACTCTGGCAAAGTATTAAGTAGCCTTAGAAATGCAGAAAGCAACTTTGTAGCATTAT